CTGGCTGGCATGTGGTGCTGGGGATCGAACCGCGGTCCTGGTGCTTTGCCAAGCTTGTTTCAAGTAGGTGCTTTAGACCACTGAGCCATCTCTCCAGCCCCTCCATGTTGTTTTTGTTACCATAGCTTTCTAGTATATCAGTCACCATTTTTTTAAAATTTCTTTTTATTTATTTATTTATTTATTTTCCCATAAATTTATTGAGAAACAAATAGCAATGAGACAGTTTCAAACTAAACTGGTAGGACAGTTTCAATAATTAACACATCATATACATTCTTCCTAGTGGTTAATTGCTGTACAAGATGCAAACATGATATCCTGCTTACAAACACCATTAGAACAAATCCCTGTATTCATTAAGAGAATGTAACTGTATATCGATCCTAGCCATTTGAATACACAGATACAAAATGGACATTCATCTGCATCCCCTTTTTGTTGTTTAGTTCCGTTATTTGAATATTATAGGTGTATAAACTCAGCAAAATATTCTAAAAAGTCCAGCAGCCCATAATAGTATTGGATCTTCTGTTTGACTGGCAATGTCAGAAATTGTTGACCTGAGTCCCCTACAGCTCAACATAACTACTTTGGCAGTAACAATACACAATGTACTAACCATTGTTACTCTCCTAAAATCTTGTTTTGAGATTTTTGTACCATTGTTTTTTTTTTTCCTTAAAATAAAATAACTGATATAAAAAAAAAAAAGAAAGAAAGTCAGTCACCATTTTTCTGCCCCAGAATTATAATAGTTAATGTTGTGCTCCTGTTCAAAAGGAAATTTCAGGTGAAACTGCAGGGCTTAACTATGTTAATACTCTGTGAAGAGAGGACTCTCCCTTCCATGATGGCAGAAAATTAGTACATTTTCTCAAGAACGTGTCGTAGATTAACTGCTGAGTTTCAGTTTCTTTTTTAAACATTCCTGACAGTCTGTTGTGTTCTGATATATGGATGGTAAAGATTAATAGAAAATCCTGTGGGACAGGACTTATCCAATCCTAGACATGCTCACATGTGAATTACTGTTTACCAGGTTCTTCCTTACCATGGAAGAAAAATGGAGTACATATTACCTAGAAGGAGAGATAGTTTTGCTTTTCTTCTGGAGGTAGGAAGTGCAACCCCGTTTACATGGCTGTGACCTCCTTCAGACGTGGAAACTGAGTTTCGTTATCTTCACTGGGCTTTTTAAACACTGGAGACATTCTTAAGACCTTGTGAATCAAGTAGGTTGCATTTCAGCTAAGAGGTAGAAGCTGGGTGTGGTGGTATGTGCTTGTAATATTAAGCTGTGTACATTTCTTAAAGTTCAGGCATGCTTACTTGTGAGTTCTTGCATGATGCTGTCTCTCTTATCTGTTGAAGAGTGTCTTAGAGATCACTGACCTTGCCTCACTACTGAGCTTGCTGTGTATTTGGAAACTCAGTCCCCACCCTGGAGCAATCGAACCAGAGCTACATTTAATATCTCCAAGTCTGGGTTGCAACAATAAGATTTGAAAGTATTTTGCAAACTCACCATGATTTTCCACCTGAGAAACAGACACAACTTAAATTGTTTGACATAAATACCACACTAAAAATTTTATTATCCTGCATCAGAGTCTTAATTTTACACTTTATATTTTCTCAAAGGTGTTTTGCCTGCCCTGACTTTGGGGATTGTTTACCATACTCTTTGCTGAAGGTATTACTATTTAGGTAATATCTTGGAGAACATGACAGGGATTTTATAATATTTTATTGAATAATTAGGGTCACTTGTGTCAGAAGCCAATCTCTCATTTCATATTGGGCCCAGTGAGAAACTCTATAACTGCATGATCAGTGTGCTGTTTTTCCCCCCCCCCAGGCGCTGTTGACATTCAGAGATGTGGTCATTGATTTCTGTCTGGAGGAGTGGAAATGCCTGGACCTGGCTCAACGAACTCTGTATAGGGATGTGACATTAGAGAACTACAGAAACATTTTTTCCCTGGGTAAGAAGATTGCCTGCAGAGTTCCTGATTCACGATTGACGTTTAATTTCTTTTCCTTTACAAACAAACATCTCTTGGAAGCTTCTTCTTTTCATGAATGAGTTTTAGGTTCCCATTCTCAAGGAAAATGAATGTTGCTTGGAATAGACAAGATGTTCAAGCTGCTGGTTTTTGTCTGTAGCCTCCCCCTTTCCTGAGGTGTCACACACCCTTCATGCTAGATGAGGAGTCATTTTACCAGTTCACTGGCACAAAACGTTGTTGCCTGTATGTTAAAGGCCATTCTCTACCCTATGGCTTTGATTTAGTAGTAGTTGAACATTAAGCTTGGGATGTGAAAGTAAAATGCTTCCTGTGTAGTGCAGTGGCTCTTTCGGAAAACTGCATTTGGAGAAATAATATTCTGCATTTGGAAAAATAATATTCTCCAAAGAATCTTCCACGGTGTCTTCTCTTTTCTCCTGAGTACAGCAAGAGGACAAACATTTCAGTAGTAGTTGCAGAATCTCAAGCATGTGTCATGTTCCATTTAATAACAGGTCTCGCTGTCTCTAAGCCCCACCTGGTCACCTGTCTGGAGCAAAACAGGGACCCCTGGAATGTGCAGCCACGAAACAGAGCAGCTGCACCTCCAGGTAGGTAGGAGTGAATGAAGCAGCGCAAACAGGTGAGATACCTGAAGGATGTAGCCAGGGTTTTTCATTTTTCATGTTTCTTAATACATGCATGCTGGGGCTGGTGAGATGGCTCAGTGGTCTAAAGCACCTACTTAGAACAAGCTAAGC